GTTATAGGCCGCTATAGCACATAAAACGTAGGTAAATGAATTTTAATAAAATATTTATACAATAATAATAAGCACCTGGGAAATAAGTTATAATATCTCTGGTATTTTATTATTAATTAAAATATTATATCATTATACACAAAATTTGTACCTACGATAATATTACAATAAGCGTATACATTTTTAAATTACATTTTATGTGTATATTTTAAGAATTTTTATTATTTAATAAAATAAATTTGACTGGAGAATGATTTTAAATTCAATTTAATATGATTAGTTATCTACCATTTTAAATTGACGCAAACTACCAAAATTAGTTTTTAACTTTGTCGCAAATTACATTGTGTTTGTCGCACGTGCCTCCTTAATCTTGTTGTGGATGCCTAGTGCAGCAGCTAACGATGAGCATATTTAAGTTGGTAGCCGAAAGTTTGTTCGACGAATTATGTCCTGCTGATAACAATATTACGATTGGTAAAATGGGTCTCGGGAATGAGTCCAGGGACTGCATCAACCCACGACTGTGTTACCTTRCACCTCTTCTTTGTTTTTAGTTTTGTACGGACTGTCATTTCGCTTCGAGAGTTGGTGCAACTATATAACCGACTTAGCAAGGAATTTCAAAGCATGTGGGAAGAGGCCTCCGTGACCGTGGTGGACCTATGGTTTGATCCCGTTGCCCCTCTGGTCGACCTACKCTCTGCACCGTGAAAATTGCACTTCATTTATGTCACGGTCAGAAGGACGGTAAGCACAAAACCCGGGTATCCCGCTGTACATACATACAACTGCGCGTTTTATTATGGTCATGTAATTTAATTTATGTTCATACCTATTATTCTAGAAATCCAATTAAATGCCGTTCGAATAAATTATTATCAATCGGTTGTTGTTTTTATCAAATTATTGGTGATTTCGTCTTACGAAACGTTTTAGCGCTAACGAATGATTACACTGACTACAAGCCTAAAGGACATGAATGTATTGTATTAAACTATAAAAAATAGAAGAAAGAGGTATACCGTCGTCGTACAGATAAAATGTAGTTGATTAAGATTTAGTTGGCGATGATGGTTTTTTTTCCGAAATCCTTTTTATCTTTTTCTGTGAACGATTATTATGTCAGGCAGAGAGAGCGTTCCGAAAGTTTCAAGTAACCCAGAATCGTTTTTCGAACGCGGTACGAATTATCGTCATTTTCAGTATTATAATATTATCACAAATTATATGTTTAAGTATAACACACGACACACCATATCAATTAAGCCTACCCAACTGTATCGGTTAGGTTTTCTCAAATTGGTCTATGATCATACTATATTGTTTTTATTTTATTTTGAGTGAACGTGTTAACATAAACGCGTTAGGTCAAATGAAGTAACTTTTTATTGACAGCGCAGATAAGTGGCTCACACAAGGGGTTTTGATCCATAAAAATGGGTGTTTAGAGGGTG